GATGTTTACCCAAATTGCGCCATTGGGGGGGGATTCAAACCCCCAGAACTCCCCAGCCAGCAATGCGGGCTGGGGAATTCTGGGAGTTGAAGTCCACTCATCGTAAAGTGGCCAAGTTTGGACAACACTGGGATAATCTGCTGGTGTTTTTACTTTGCACACCTATTTCATATTTGAAAGAGTGCTAAGCCTGTGTGACAATAGCACAGCCAACAGGTGGAAGACACTGAGGCCTAAGAATAAAAGGGGAGCGAATGATATTGAGAAAACTCCATCCCTGAATAGTGTTACAAGGGAACGGTTAGCAGTGAATGACCAAGGCATCTTATTCTAACCTCACAGACAGCTGCACGCAGAAGTAGCTGGTAGACAGCTCTAGAGAACTCACCATTATGATCTGCCCACCCTTAATAACTGTGGCTAACCCTGCTGCCAAAGGTGGAATGGAGGAAGCCAAAGTGGGCTGCCTCCCTTACCCCACCCAATAATAAAAACAGTCAAAGTCATTGGCAGCAGAACCAGACAACAGTTGCTTATTACAGAATCTGTGACCCACAGCCAGTAGAATCTGCCTCCCTCTCCTGTTTTAAACTGACTTTCTGCACAGCGCAGGACTAGTATTTTAAAAAAGATCTATCAGTTTATCAAAAGGGCACTGAGCCCATGTTTATAAGGAGTCTGTGTAAGGTGAGACAAGCTCTTTGAAAAGGGACAGTCAGGCATTATGCAAGTGGACGCCTCTGCAGAAGCCAGGTGTCTCTCCCACAGGAGAGAAAAAGGCACATCCACATAGCTTAAAGGGCCCAGTAGGAATCAGAAGGAATCAAGAGTCAGAAATCACATCATCAACAAAGCGTGTAAGATTATGTCCATGGCCAACATTTTGCTGGCAAAAAAGAGGTAACTTTACTTTAAAACTGGAATAGCTTTCAGATGTCTCAGTGGACTGAAGTGGAGACAAACACAACATCAGGAGAACGTTGCACAGGAAAGCAGTTTCTGGAGAATGTTTTTGGCACAGTTCTGGGAAGACGGGAACAGTCCTTAATCTGTCTGTGATGAGATTACAAAAACTGAATCGCACTAGAAATGGCCACATATGAGCAGTTATTCGCAAATCTCTCCTTTTCTTCAGAATAAGGGAAAAGTTTCTTCACACCAGGAAAACGTCCAGTTTGGAAGTTCATGGAAGAAAAAATAGCAACCTATTTCTTATTACAAACTAGTTCTTCAACTATTCAAACCCAGGTAAAAAAGGACATTCTTACCCAGAGAAGTCACATTCCTAGAATTCTCCAGCATGACTTCCTCATGCAGAGCTTTTTGGTCAGCATCCAGGAGAGTCCACTCCTCTTTGGTAAAACACACAGTGACATCCTTGAAGGATACAGGACCCTGAAGAAGGACAAATATTTTTCCTATTAGCAGACACGGCAAGAAAAGACTTGGAAGTTCTCTCCCATAACTCAGATCAGAAAAATAGACATTTTCTGATTCAGAATTTCAAGACAAAAATAAACAGAGTGCACAGTCTGTCTTGGTGTGATATTTAAGATAAAACCTGTGAATGACCTTCAATGCAATCCAGGGGCAGGAAGGATAATACCTTTCCAAATAGTTTGGTTACGATTGTTTAGCAGTGGCTTCCATCCATCCCACTGAGGCTTTCCAGAACAAGATTTCTGGAAAGAAGTTCTGAGGGGCAACTGTTTGACCATTCTAGCCCATCATCTGTGGTATTCCTCAAGAATCATTGCCATCTCTACTGAAAAACTATGCAAAACCACTGACAGATCAGTCAAAGAATGCCATGGGAGCTAGACAGTATCCAAAATATGTGCAACCCATGTTCTCTTTTGGATTCTAAGAAAGTTCCTCATACTCTGAACCACTGACTGGATTGGAAACTGATAACACCAAAAGGTGAAATTATTCACCAGACATTAAGGTTCCAAAGATGCTGCTGGAGAAGGAATTGAATAACTCTGGGACAGTTCTTCAGGCTATTTTACATGGAATAACATGAATAAACTACATCTACCATTCTAGGGAAGGAGAAATCCTTGTCCTACCTGAACTGGGACCATATCTGCAGTTTCTGCTTCAACATGAAGAGGAGATGTTTCTACAAGATCCAGCAATGTTGTTCTGCTCTCTATGAGTGAGTCAAAGGTGGCAGAAGAAGCACGTGTATTAAAAACATTATCAATAAATTCTGCAGAGGCACTATACAGAAATCCCATTCTTGCCCACAAGCTCAAGGTTTAGTAGTAAAAGAATTTATGAATTACATCAGTACAAAGAGCTGGGAACATCATAATGAACTCTCACCCCTTCTTACCTGGTGACATGTCCTGAGCTTGACCCTTTGGAGAGTTCACCCCCAAGAACAGCTCCTGGGAGGATTTAGACAGAGGCACCCTTGGTTTGGGCCACTCAGCGACCACTTCCACCAATGGTCCCCACATCGGAAACAACTGCCAGGAACAAGGAACAGTTTGGAACACACAAAGGAGCAGATTCTTGCCCAGTGCCCCAATGTTTCCACCTGCCTCCTGCCCCACCCATCACTGGGCTGGAAGGAGGACCTGGCTCCTTCTTCTCCTGGGACACGATCAAGAAAGGACAATGGGGTTGCCTAAAGAGGAAGCAACCCCCCTTCCTTGTATTGTCAGCTCCAGAAATGGCACAAAGAGAGGCGTTTAAGGATGGAAAAGTTCTGTTTCTCATGCCTGCCACTTCCAAGTGGAGGGCCAGCATGGAATGGGGTCTCACCTGCAGCTTCCCCTGCCTCTTGTCCTCGGCCTGGCTCAGGAGGAAGCCTTCCACCAGGGCCACTGCTTGGGAACTGGTTTCTGCTCCACACTCTCTCACCCAGCTTCCCAGCTCCGGGGTCAGGATGGCCAGGAACTGCTCCAGGATCACCAGGTCCAGGATCTCAGCCTTGCTGTGCTTCTCTGGCTTCAACCACTGACAACAAAGGTGGTAGAGTTGGCTGCAAACCTTGCGGGGCCCCACAGTCTCCTGGTAGCGGACGTTCCTGAAGCGTTGGCGTGAGGTATCCAAAGTGATGTTTTCTTCCTTTTGCATCTTCTGCCCCATTCTTCTCCAAAGCTCCTCACAGCTTTTACCCTGAGCAGCGTGAGAGCCTTTTCCTTCTAGGTGCTGCAAGTCCATTTTCTCTCTAGTCTCAAATAGACCTCCAAACAGCTG